AGTGCAATTATTTGCAGTACACGGGTGTTACTTTGAGTTAGTCAATCCATTCTGTTTTGATAAAATCAAAGTACTCCATTCTTATTTTGACTTTATATATTATTGTCTACTGCTAAATAGTTGCAACATAAAATGACTTCACTTCCTTCTGACAAGATGACTCTGATAGGGTCATGTCACTCTGATAAGGTCAAAATACTTTATCTTCTGGAAGACACTCATGCTTCAGAAAGCTTTTGACAAAACAGTGTTTTCCACTGCATAGGAATTCAATCAGAAAATTTTTGGCCAGCTGGGATAATCAAAAGCAAGCCAGGACGCGACTTCTAAAATTCAAATGCCTTAATAGAGAGGGATCTCTCTCTCTTGTTAAATGCATCACTAAATTGATTTTACTGAACAATACATCCCACTGACAACCTCAACACGAGCCAGTGCAGCTTTCCAGAACTCCTCTGCAGACCTGGGTTACCTTTGGCCAATAACGCAGATTTGCAAAATCACAGAAAAGTTTCAGCTGGAAGGGACCCCGGAGATCATCTTGGCCAACCTTGTGTTGAAAGCAGGGCCCGAGATTAGGTTATCTGTGGCCCCATCAAGCCAAGTCTTGAATATCTACGGCCAGGCAGGTTCCACTGCTTCTCTAGGCAGCTTATCCCAGTGTCCAAGTGGCCTCACAGTGAAGAAATGGTTTCTAAAATCCAGACAGGAATACCCTGAAGCAATGGGTGATTCTTGCCCCTCGTTCTGTCCCCGTGCATCCTTGTGAGAAGAACGACCGCCTCCATCTTCTCTCTCCTTTAGGAGTTTTATGGAAAATCTGGTTAACGGGAGTTTTTGCATAGGTAAAGGGGGATAAAAAAGACTTGCTCCACAAAGTCTGTTGCATTTAAGCTGCTTGTAACATTCAGGACTCACCGGCGACAAAAACTCCAAAGGACAGACATTTTTAGGCACAAAAGAACTGACGGTGTTTCCAAGCACAAATTGTTGGAGGTAATCTATGCTTCATCATAACAGATTTATTACATTTACTGTGGAAAAAATCAATGAAATATTTTTCTAATAATTAGATCAAATTATGCACTTACAGAGCTTCCTGATTACAGAACAGACAGATGGCCTTTCAAAAACGGGTGTTGGTTGTTTTTTTCCTTCTATGAATAGCAACTTTTTTGCCCCAGTTTCTCCCTTGAGTATGTCAGGCTACTTAAAAAAAAACCACAAATGCAATTAAAGCATATGAAAGTTTCTGGAAGGTTTACTAAAGGACTTATCTTCCAACAGTTCTATACCTTTCCTTAACGACAAGCACCAGATATGGATTTGAGCAGTCACTCTCTGCGCATACTTGAAATTTCCTGGACTACGGAAAGTGTCCAACTCTTGCCCTTCAGGATCTGCATGACACGAGCTTTCCCACCACAGACATGGAGGACAGGAGGATGCATCACCACCAACTCACTTCACTGCTGGATGTTCCTCACCGTTGAGCCACAGGAGATCATGTTTGCTCCAACTGGGGGAAGGTCGATGGCATCCATCAGTACACTGCTCCCACCACCCAAAAGGTGTGCCTTTCCACCCAGCCAGGATGGGTCTTAAGAGCAGTTTATACACCCTGATCAAGACAACTCTTAACCTTCTCTTGGATTAATTAATTATATTGAGATCACTGAACCTTTCACTAAAAAGATTGTCTCCGGTCCCCAGGTTTTTGTAGTGCTTTTCTTGATATCCTTTCAATGGACAGACATGAAAATTAGTCAATTTTCTACATAGATTTGCTCACGTTGCTGCCAGAAATAAAACCATAAACTTACTTGTCTTGACAAATTTGAAACTCAGAACACAGTTCAACTCCTGCTTTTGTAAAAGCATAAAACAGATACTGAATGACATCAAACCAACAGGAAAAGTGACAGAATAGAATCTATCTTCTTATCTGCTGTATATAGCCCATGCTACTTGTTATATTACAGTGAAAAAGTGAAACAAAAACATAACAGGCAATGTCAGCTTCTTTGACCCATAATAAATTTGTTTTTTATATCCATATTTTCTCATATATTACAAAGAGTTGATTAGAATCAATACTTAAACAAGAGACAAGAAACAATTAGATGATGCAGGAAACTGATTATCCACAGAACTTAATCCTCATTATCCACATCAATATAAATCCATTTCCTGACATAATGCTACTCTTCATTATTGCTCCTGGTATTAACGGCAACTTTATTTTTAGATGAGATAGCAATCCAAATTCCTAACCCTTTCTCCTCAAGAAAAAGGCAAAGGTAGGCAGGGCGATAAAGAATATGTCCCCTTCAGACAAATTTCAATGCTGGATTTTCTGCTGCCTAATTTCCTCTTGCAACTCCACACACAGAGGATGTTCTGCTTCTCCCCCCCCAAAAACGAATTTGTGAAAGTGTGAAATTTGCATCTCTGAGGTGCAAAACTAATCTTTGAGAGCTAAAATAAAAATGAACACAGGAAAAGCAAATAAACTCTTTAAAACAAAACAAAGGCAACTAAGTAAGCCTACATGATTTAATAGCTCCTCTCCATCATGTTTCTGATTGTTTACATACTTCTATTTTAAAAAGGTATCAAAGGTATTCAGTACAAGCACAGCAAGATTCAAGATCTTCTGATACCCCTTAAGAGAATCTTAAAACCAGACGTGTGTCATTAAGAATATTGTGGTTTCTGTCAGACGGCAGCTACCATTGCTGCTCATAGTAATAGATGTCGTGGGGAAAGGGAATTGTTATTCTTTGGTAGAACCAGTGGGAATTTTTCAATCAGATAATTCTTAGTTGGAAAACACCAGTTTCTAACAGGTCCCTTTTTAGAAAGTTTCTTGGGATTGGTACAGGACTTCTGGTCAAAGTAGAAAGAGATGAAAAGAAACCAAAGCATAATTTGGTGTCTGCAGCACTTTCACAGCATGTGGTGAAGACCGGGTTCAAGAAGTCTGTTCTGGCTAACCTGCACCAGTAATGTGACCATAAAGTTCCCATTTTCACCTCAAGCACTAGCTATTTTGGTGTCCTCCTTCTGTTTTCAAGTAAAAACCCCAAGTTTTATACTCTTCCCATGACGACTGTCTTTCCATCTGTTAGGATTTTATTTTTCAAATCTCCCATACAAATGGTCCTCCAGCCTCTCCACTGTGAATGAGAAACCTCACTAATTAAAGGATAGAGCCTGACTTAATGAAAAGAGAATATATTTTATGTCTACTCTATGAACACTTCATTTTCCAGCAAATAGTGTCCCACCCCACAAACACCAAAGATCGTACGTACGTTTACTCAAGTAACCCATGTTATTCATGAGCAGACATTTTACAAGACAGAGGAAAAAGTATTATTCCTGAAAGAATTGTTTTGTAATACAGGATCTATGAGAAGGTCAAAAGGAAGCATTTCTGGACGTGTTCCATCACTTGATATTCAGGAAACCATTTTGTATGACACAAAGGATTAGGAAAAATAAGCTGCATGACATTTATTTTGTAATTTTAACATTAATATCTGTAGAAACATTTTATTGTCAGTACAAAAGTTAACAGGTTTCAAGACCTTTTTTACCCAATTTAAAAAAAACAAAACAAAACAAAAAAACAAACCAAAAACACCAACCACATAAAACTGTGTAATTTGCATTCAGATTGCATGGCCATATCAGTGTGAGTGTTCTGAAAGTAAAAACACGAGACTTCCGTAAAAAGATACAAACAACAGTGATATTTTAGCAGAGGCCAGTGCTATACCTACTGTTATGGAATGGATTAGAAGGAAATACTGGAGTCAGCATGAATTAATCCCTTAAAAAGATGCTGATATTCCTATGGCAAATTGTCATTATAAACAACTTCTCTCTTTTTAACTTAAGTTACAATAGAGGGACAGTCTAAAAAGCAAAAAATCCAGGCCAAAAGATCTGGAACCTATTATCCAACTCAGGGAAGAGAATTGTAGTTAATTTGATGCATGTGCAACCCAGGGTAGAAGCTCAGCTCCTTTTAGAGCAGTACGTTCTGCTATGGTTATAGACAAAGTAATGTCTCTCCTTACTTTAGGAACCCTCTTTAGCATCTTTTTTTTGGTAAGTGGAATGATTCTGCTTTTTGGCCATGGGAAACACTGCTAAAGAGTTAAACTGTTGAAGTGACGGGTATTGAGAATAAAAGACTTTCTTGTTAAAGGATTTGGTTTTGATAAGAATAATCATCTGACACTGCAGTTTTTATCACAAATAAATCAAAAGTTTAATTCCCCAAAATTAGTTATATACTGTAAATATTTCTTTTTTTAAAGATCTGAAAACTAGTAAAGACTGAGCAATATATCTACTAGTTCTCTGTGCTGCCTGCATAGAAATGCCATTTAAATTACAAAAACACAACAACCCTATAAACGATTAACTGTTTTGTACATTACCAATTAGTTAATAAATTAACGATATACCATTTTCCCTGAAAGCAAAGTATTTTCCACCTTTGGATGGTGAAAATTAAGAAATTCTGTGTAAGAACAGCATTTAGCAAATAGCTGTTAAAAAAGAGACTAATTTGCTAGGTGGATTGGGACATCCATTTTTAAATCAATACAAAAAATAATTCATTGTAAATATATATAATATATATTTATACATATTTTGAATATATTTACATACATCCAGCACCTATATACTGCATTTGTGCTCTGTAAGTGTGTGCCAACATATATTTTCTCCAAATATTACAAAATAAACAAGGAAGGCAGACCCAGAGTTTGCCTCAAGTCCAACTGGTCCATTGTACAAACAAAGTCTGTTGCAGCTTACAGGAAGCCAGAAAATCGATAGCGATGGGTATCTAGACACAGCTCAGAAACATTCTTCTTTGTTGGGAATATTTAAAAGTTGCAAATTATGAGATCCTTTATGTAGGTTCTGACTGCTTTCCTCCAAGTTTGGGGTCTTTTTTTCCTTTTTTTTTTTTTGTTCCATATTTCATATGTACAAGCAGAAACATTAAGGTCCTGGAGAAAAGATTTTGCTTTGTATATGGTAGGTAGCTTGATGTTCTTGTTTCTTTATTCCTCTGTATGATTTCTTTTCATGTTTTAACACTTCCATTCATGTGTTGGTACTTGGGAAGACAAGGTTCATAAGGCATTGGATCGGGAGAAAAAACAGAGTCGTCACCTGAAGAACACGAACTCCTCGTGTCAGGGTAACTAGGTGAATACTGTTCGAGAGGTCCACTGAGGTCCAGATACTCCTATGACAAAAGAAATACATTGCATTTTTGGACAGTGAATAAAACTGACAATAACATGTTACCGCTGCTCTGATTTGGGTTGATTATATTGTGGTTAAAAGAACAGTTTAAAAATGACACTCATTCCTCTAACGCAATTGCATTCAAAACTGCCTGTTGCTTAAATATCTCATAAAAGAAGGAGCTTGAATAGAGAAAGAAAAACCAAACCAATAACACGGTACTTTTCTGACGTCCGACATCACCAGCATTCGCCGCGTCAGTGGAAATAAACATGCCAACCACATCAAAAGAGGACTTTTCACTCGCAATGATAAAAATGAAATTTCATCCTAAATAGAACCATTTTTCTTTAGCACATGGTAATGATTTGGAGAGGGAAAGATACTTCCAACTTTGTATTCCTTTGGTCACTTTGAATATCTGTTTTATATTCTGTGATATTAAATTTGTTTTTAAACACGCAGTGGCATACGTGCAAAAAGGAAAGGAAAACAAAATTAAAAAAATTAAAACCCTAGATTTGGGTTTTTACACTACATATTTGTGTGTGTGTGTGTGCGCGCACGCGCATGTGTGTGTCCCAGAGCAGCCATGACCAAAGCAGTCATTAAAAAAGGAAATAATATCTGCTGAATCCAAGTTTTGGGTTAAGGCTCTTTTGCTAGAAACAACAGTTTTGGCAGGAGAATAAAGTTATTTTTCCCCTTGAAATGTTCCTTCTCTTTCAACTTCTAAAGGCAGCTGCATTCATTTAAATGCAATCTCTTCATTTGCTAAACCTCAAGCTATGATCATACTGACGAGACAAGTCTTCCACCTCAGTCAGTATTTTATGCTGCTGTACTTAGGTTTGGGGTAATTCAGTTCTTCAATTAACATATTTTTTTTAAAGTCAGAAATTCAATCATTACCATATTATAGTAAAAAACGGTCACCATTTAAAAGAGGGGGGGACTGTAAGTTTTAAAATGCCGACAAATACAGTAGGCAGCAGAAGACAGTTTGTCTCACTGCCTAGGCTTTTAAAAGATCCACGAGGACAATCTTGATCTTTATTTATGTATTAGCAAACCAGTCCTACGTGATCAGAAATAATCAACCATTTTCTAAGCAGACAGAAGAAGAAAGCAGTCCAGTATGTAAAGGAACAGGGCTTTCTCATGGGCTATCGGGCATGGCTCCTCATATCAAAAGGCCTGATACAATTCAGTTACGAATTCAGAATTGAAGGTGGGATCCTCAACCCCTCTCCAGCCTCCTGATCCGATGTCAAGGGCCAGAGTCACAGAAAGGGACACAAGAAGTTTCCAGTATGAGGATGGTTCCTGGTGGTGATATAACCACACAGCCACGAGGCTGACTCTTGGCGACTTCTGCTCATGAGGCTCAAGGAAACATCGCACACTACTCTGGGAAACAGGGGAAATAGGGTCTTTTGGGGGGAAAAAAAAACCACAACAAAAAAACCCCACCCAAAACCAAAACACCAACAAAAAACCCCAACAGGTGATGATTCAGCATGTAGAAGAGCAAGATGTTACCATTTAAGCAGAAGTAATTACTTGCACAAATACAGAAGATATTACTGGCTGCCTTGGCAATTCTTTGAGTTGTTGGGTGAACTAGGCTGACCCTGTATCAACAGTGTCATTTCAGGGGGAAAGGGAAAGTGCCACTGTGGAGGGGACGAGCAGAAGTATTGTCAGACTGATTCCAGAAGGACCTGCACTTCGGGAAAACTCTGCAGATTACACAAAATCAAGAAGTCTCAAAAGCACAAGCTATGGAGGAAAACGGGACACACTGGAGTTCTCAGGAGACACGGAGTGAGAACATAACGAGTTTTCAGGAACATAAAACGTGCTGCAAAGATAAGTGAAATAATTTGCTTTTTTGTCCAGGGTGGATAGGACAGAAGCAGTATCTTATGTTGAAAGATTAGAGATTAGGAAAAACTTTCAAGAAGCACGGCTAATGAAACAAAGCAATAGACTGTCAAGGGACGATGCGGAAACACAGCAGTGGAGATCTTTAAGGACAAGTTACATAAACATCTGTCAGGAATGACAAACGTATAGTGGATCCTGCCGTAGGCCTGTCAGATGGACTGGATGTGTTCCTAAGCTTTTTCCAGTCGTTTTTCCTATGATTCTAGTCTAAAGTAACTTACATAACCTTAAAGGCCTTTCCAGGTTACCTTTGAGATCATTCCAGGTCTATGAGCAGTACAGAATTGAGAAGACAAGATGGTTAAACACACACAAAAAAGAAAGCAATGTCCTTTCCCAGGCTCAGAATTGCAGCCCAGAACCTCCCTCTTGAGTTTGCAAATGCATATCCAGTCCAAGCCACCCAGCACTCCGCGGTGGCAGCCAGCCCACCTCCAGCCCATCTTGTGAAATCATATATAAATTAGGCAGGAAAAGATGCAGTCAGGACTGGATGAGGGGAAAATGGAAACAGCACGCAGAGCTGTGTTACTGACTCCATTGGCAGCACGTAGTCCTGCCCCATCTCTGAAGGTATCACTTTTTAGAGGAAGCCTTAACAACAGAATCCAGTTAAATTTATAGCTGCTACTGAAGGCAAAGAATCTTTTTCAACTGGTTCTACTGAGCAAATGATGAGCATAAAAAACAGCATCTCTTTACTCAGGTTCTCCTGTCACCTCTATTGCATACAGCCTTTCCTAATGCGGCTTAATAATCCATTTTTTATTTCTATGACAATTCTGAAAAATTAGAAAGCTTTGTTGAGGACCAATATAGAGCCATCCAAACCTTTTTTTTTCCTACCTTCCCTCCCCGCCTTACAAAGAAGTGCTATAATCATAGCAAATCTGAAAAATTTATTTTGAAATGGTCAAAAAAAGTTGTTGCAACTTTACTCTGTATGAGTTTCGTTCTTTTTTTTCCCCTCCTATTACACATATCATTTCTCAGAAATGTTAGGAATTTGTAAAATGTTTCTGTGACACCAGGCGTTTTCTCTCAAAAGAAGTTTTCCACCTAAAGAATCAACATTTCCATCACTTGTGATCTCCCTCAAAGGTGCGTGTGACTTAGTGATAAGAGAACCGATTCCTGTGTGAATACCCTAATCAGCGTGTTCCTTGCTAAAACTAATAATATCTCAGACCTCTAAAAGAATGCTTTTCAAATAAAACCTTTTGCATGCATATATCCCAACCTGAAGCAGTGTTAGGCAGGACCTTTGGATAATTGGATGGCTGTTTGCACGTTCCCCGCGGGTCCTCGTTCCCTCCACAGAGAGCTCTTTCAGTGAACCTAATTCACTCTCAGACATATAATCTCAAATCTACCATTGACGATTTCTCCTCTTCTGACCTAGATATCATGGCTGGGAATCAAACCGAGTCGGTAAATGAAAAACACCATGAAGTCTACATCTCTCCTTCACATGAAACTCATGTTGAAACATAAACATTGCCCCTCAACCTGCCACGTGTAGTCCCTCGATACTGCTATGTTAAAACATCAAAAGATGCAATGAGAAATAAACAAAAACACTTTAAAGATGTGTTTCTGTTTAGTTACATAAATCACGGCATAATGGCAAAAAAACGAGGATTTCATAGGATACATAGTTTAGCTGCGTGTAACCTCAGAGGACAACAACAAACAGAACAAGAAGAGAACTTGAGCAGGATTTCATAACTGAATAAATTCCATCTGTCTCCTGAACCATTTCTCCTGATCAGCAGCTTATGGAGGGAAACAATTTACCTACCTCATTAGTTGTGAGAGTGAGAATCCGATCCAAGTCTTCCACCAACTGCTTAAAAGTTGGTCTCTGTGAAGGCACAGCATGCCAGCAATCTCTCATCATCATATAGCTGTAAGAAATACACATTTTCTTGGCTTAATTAAAATCACACATCCTTCTCGTAAACCTTTTCATGCATAGTCAATGTTCTTCATGACAAGTAAAGCTGTGGGCACCCACAGCCCTACATGTGGACCACTGACTTGACCGAAATTGCGCAGTGCTCCCTTCCTTCAAAGGTGCACTTCTACGCCTGGATCTCTCTTGCCCAGTGCCTAAATTACCTTTTTGGGGACCCAATTCTGTCGCCTTCTGTCCCAGGAATTTCAACAGTGTTCAATTACACATGCTGAAATATTTTTGCAAGTTGGGGGATTGCCATCTTTGTGAAGTGAAGAAATTAAAATAGGAAAAAATATTCAAAATAGTTAAGGGCTATACTGAAATATCAGAAAAGGAGAACACTCTCCCCTCATCACCAGGAGATAATGCTGCGTGAATGCAGAAGCTCCCAGATGTATTTTGTTGAGTACAAAACCAGACTGATGTACCTTATATACGATTAGTGGTATGTCTGCCATTTAGGAATTTTCATGTTAATGAAATTAAAATAAAACAAATACGGGTGTAAAAACACTGACAAAGACTGGCTTGTAGATGATCTACTCTTTTTCAATGGGATTACAGCAGGGTGTGCAGAGAGACATCCCCTGTCAAACGTTTCCTGAAGACCTTTTCATACCCTTTCTTTACATATCTGCACACACGCATATAGCCACAATTTTTAGAGTCAAACAACTCCAAAAATGTTTGATTCTGCCAGGGGTAGCATTAACCACGTGAATTCAGTCCAGTTTGTGCCCTTCCATCCTGGTACAACAGCAAATAAGGGTCCTTACAGCTCATTGGTGCAGTTGGCAGGTTTATCCATTCGGTGCCCTTCTTTAAGCAGCTTAAAAAGTTCCTCCACTGGGATTCCTGGGTAAGGGGATCCTCCTAAGGTGAAGATCTCCCACATTAACACACCAAACGACCATCTACAAATCAAAGACAAAACTGCATTAGAAGATCTGCCTTACTGCTGAAAACAGAGAGGCGTCTGCGGCAGATGCAATGACTGCAAATCCATCTTCGGGGATGCTTAAACCAACACCTGCCCAACTCCGACCGCCCCGAGCGGGACACATCAATCTGCGAAGTGCACCAGATGCACGGGCGGCATATAGAATAGGGACGGACCTCGGCACGTTCTCAAACCCACTCTTTGCCTTTGTCTGGTGTGCTCCGAGCACCCCCAGTTTCCAGGGCTACTGCAAAGAACTGCGTCTTCACAGCTTAATTATTTACAGAACACTCACAGCTGCGCTGAACTGCAATTACGTGGCGGGATATTTTGGAAAAAGCAGACTGTTGAAAATAAAAAATATTTCGCATCGTTCTGCTCTTCTTTTTGCATTATTAATTTTTGTTAGGAAATGAAGGAGGCTAATTTCAAGCCAGCTTTCCTGCCTGCTTGCCACCTCCTCCAGAGCCTGCCTCATCACGCCTTGCTGGCAACCCAGGGCTCTTTGGCAGGCGGCTTTGCCAGGTGAGCGCGAGCACACAGCTTGCCCTGGCTCCCGAACCTCTCTGCAGCTCTCCCAGCTTCGCAGCAGTGTATTTTAGTAAACTGTTTGCACAAACTTACAATAATATTATCTTTAGCCATCTTCAAAGCCACCACGGGGCCAAGAGCCTCCAAGTTCCAGCAGTGAAACCCTCGTCCTCCGTGGTTGCTGCGCAGCTCAGCCTGACTTTCAGTCCTCAACCAGTGAAGGAGTTTACTCCACGTTCACTTAAATATTTTGCCAAGATGTTATTTTTAAAACAAAAGTTTGATCCACCCTTAGCCTGTGTATATACTTTCCTTGGTAAATAATGTAAAGATTGCAGGAAAAGCCTCAGTAAATGCTTCTCTTAAGGAGAGAGCGTCTCAGGAAGTGCACCCAGGTTAAAGAAAGAGGAGATACCTCTTATTTTCTCTGCCCTGCTTTTTCTTTTTAACCCTGCACTGACATGCATAACCTTTTACACCTGTGCTGGGAAGCATCCAGCCCTTTACGGTTAACAGCTCCTCTCGGAGAAATAAAAAACATAAGATACTCATCTGCGCCGCATAAAAAATACACGTCTACTTCAAGCGCAGTGCACGCGAGTACTGTAGATGGGCTTAGGAAACTCTAATGGGAAGCAGAATAAATCCTGAGCGGTTGCATCAGCCAGCAACTCTGTGCACACATTAAAAGATTTTGAAGTGTCAGAGTCCAATGATTTCCTACTGCATGTGAAGTACTGCTGGGAAGCAGCAATGCTTCTAAAAAATCAGAGAAAGCTTTTCCAGTGCAACCAGCCTATGTTTTATTATACCTAATCTTAGCACAAATTTTTTATACGACGTTTTCAGGAACTTTCTTTTCTTTTTTTCTTTTCTCTCTCTCTCTCTTTTTTTTTTTTTTTTTTTTTAAACCTGAAGGAAGTCCAGCGTATGTCAAAAGCCAAGCAAATTAGATAGACTCTTTGTAGCTGCACATCCGTAAATAAGTTCAAGGGGGGAAACTTCCGCACTGACAGAAGGAGGTTAGCATTTTCCACCTTTCATGTGCTTTGAAGCCGGGCAGATTAGTAACAGAGCACTGGTTAGCAGTCTACCATAAAATCCTCACTTTCTAAGGGCAAGTCCTGTTCCATCTATTAATACGTGAAACAGAATGAAAACGCTTAAAGGTAAAGGCCAACAGGAAAATATGTTTCAAAATATCCCAAACTTGTAACAAATACAAACCAAAACAACCCTCCTTCCCACCCCCCAAAACTCCATCCAAATAAGGCCACTTACACATCACTTTGATGCGTGTAAACTCTGTCAAACAGAGCTTCTGGAGCCATCCACTTTACTGGAAGCCGTCCCTGGAAGTTTGGAGGGGAAGGGAAGGAAAATTAAAAAGGTAGCAATTTACAGGATGATTTCAACCCCCATTTTTTAAAAAGAGTAATCAATTCTCAGAGAACAGTCTCCTAATGCCAACCAGCACGTAATTTACCTTCAAAATTTTCAGGGGAAAAAATAGTAAAACAGGTTAAAGTAGGCAGACTGTTAAGAAAAATGGATATAAACGTTGAAGATAAAATTAAAAGCACTGAGGGCTCCCAAAAAGTTCCCAGACTGCTTGCTAGGAGAACAACAGAATAAGCCCATCAAAATTAACAAGATAATTCCACTGTGCCTCTTTAAAGACAAAAACCACCCCAATCAATAATCCTCTGAAAAACAGGCCTGCCTGCAAAAATAAGTTGATGGCTAAACCCAAGAATTTTGTTTTCCTGTTCCACCTTTGGCGGTGACCCAAACAAAGCTCACGGTCACCACTGCCTCTTGCTTTGCACACACCGTCTGCTCTGCTCAGAGCCCAGGAACTCGTGGAAGGTTCAATTCCCTCCAGTTCGTACCTGTACCTGGTTGCTCTGTCTTCTGGAAGCAGGCAGATAGTACCATTAGAGTACCATTAATCACTCAGTGCTTTATTTTCGTACATAAGCCACTTAACATGATTGTTAATAATAATTAATATTTATAAAAAATATCAAAGCTTGTAGAACTGAGTGAGTTCCGCCAAGTTCCCATCAAAACCCACGTGTAGTTCGTCGGGATCATAGACCTCCTGAGAAGGAGGTGTAAGCTGCTCAAGCCGGGCATCAACGACTACATCTGAAATGTTTTACCTTCTTGATTTGGCACAGGTGAAACAGCAAAACAGTGACAGAGTGGGGAGTAAAAAAAATCCATTTTCTCAATGTCTAGCCCCACTTTGATGCTACCGCCACAACTGGTACATAACAAGCAAAGCACAGGCAAAAGGCACAAAGCTGTATGTGCCATTATCACACATAAACAGGGGTTTTATTACGGTTATTGCTAGCACTGTTTATGTAGCGTTTTTCAAGATCTTAGGGTTGGTACAAAATGAGCTGGAATCAACAGGAATATTTCCACTATTTCAAGTGATGGGAGTCAGGGACACACAAAAAACAACTCTTGTATTTTGGCATTTCTAATAAATCAGACAATATACAGCCTCTTCGGTTATCTTTTTAACTACCTGTCGCTGTAAGAGGGGACAGAAATGCTCATGTCCTTGATCCCTGTTTTCTGTCCGCGATGAAAAGTGAGGCTGCTCTACAAGAAGCCCATTAAGTTTATAACCATAGTTTTGAAGTGAATCATCGCAAGAAACACTTGTTTCCAGAGAAAAGAAAACCATCCACTTACATTAGTAGTCTTTTTATAATAATCTATATTGTTGATGTCTCTGGCTAAACCGAAGTCTGCTATTTTCATGACATTATTTTCAGTTACTAAAACATTTCTTGCAGCCAAGTCTCGATGGATACACTGGAAAGAAAAGAGAAAAAAAATAAAGGCCCACTGAAATAAAGTGCTGTAAAAGTGAAATTACTTCCACGCCAGAACTAAGTCTCCTTTACAGATTTCAACCTAAATCACACGGTGGGAAAGTCACACATTTACCACAAGCCTGTGAAATACTATTGTCTTAATTACTGCGATCCATCCCCTCAGCTGGCGCTTCCAAGTTGGAACAACGGCCCTAAGAAGCCTCTTAAGAAAAGCCTGGTTTATTTAAGACTTATATTTTTTGCTAAGGATGAAAGCTTGGGTGGTGACCCAAACTGCGCCACGCTGTCTGTGATTCACTCTCCATCACACATGCCCAGGTACAGGTATTGCAGCACCTTCATTACAAATACTGTTAATGAGGGTTTTAATAAGGTGCTTCTCTTAAATTGTGTCACCTCACCAGAGCTAAAACCTAACAGTCTGCATCAGTGCAACCATTTTTAATATAAAAGACCTTAATATGAGATATATCCATAGTATATAATTTTAAACTACACGTCTAGTGTCCATTATTTACCTCAGCCATGAGACTATAACAATTTCATTTTAAAAAAACCAAACCAAACCAAAACAAACAAAACAAACCAACACAATCTGGGCCGGGCTGTTGGCTTTTTAAACAGCTTTGATACTGAAGCTAAAAATGTTCTCTCCTCAGAGATTTTTCCTTCGTGTCAGCATTATCCTGAAAACTTGCAACTGATTCTTGACACCGAAAGGACGTTGTGACTCTCTGGGTATTACTCCTGTGTTCAAGCAGCCTTATTAGGGTTGATGGCAGCAGGGCCATGGTAAGAAACATCGCATTTGGAATCCACCCAGGATATTGTACTTCTTTTCAAGTTAAATATCCCCCCTTTTTTTTTTCTGCCTCAATTTTAGATTACTCTTTATGTTGTCCTCTTTATTTCAGCATGTGCATAGACATGCTGGACTGAACCACTACAAAAAACTGTATGACAGCCAATTTCTTTCTCACATTATAACTTGCCCCAGCAATTTTCTGAGATCTCTTATCCTGCAAGGGTAAAATGAGCCTACAAAGCTTCTGCTCCTCACCGGGTTAGTCATGGGGAACTGCCAGGAAAAACCTGCTCCAGCAACGCCTTCACATGCGCAGGACCAGACAACAGCACATGCTTTCAGCATCAAATCAGTCTTCTAATTCAGCATCAGCAACGCTACGGTAGCAGAAATAACACAGGCCAGCCTTCCTGCTTCCCTGTCCCTGTTCTCAAACCCTGCAAGAACATCCTCTGAGACACCAAGAACTCAATTCAGTTGCCCAAATAGAAGTACACATTTGTCATCTGAGATGACCTACGATATCCAAGGTATCTTGATGAGACTACTGGTAACAACAGAGTGGCAGGCTGGGGGTACCACAGAGCACCTCAAATGGCATGTAACACCTCTGAGTGCATACACCAAATGATTCAAACCCTGGTATCTTCTGTCAGTATATTTCTGCTTTCTCATACCCAACAGTTTTACAGCTGAGACTCTCCCTATCTTCAAAATGGTGCCATTATAAGTTTCCATATCTGACAGGTTTCATAGTTGACCCTATGGCCCTAACAATTTGCTGCCTCTTTGCAGTGATCTGGGCCAGCCCCTGTATCTGGACCCCTGAACCACCCCTGTGGTTCTTGTGCAGTACTGGAACGATGGAGGAGTCACATCAACAGAATTTTAAAAAGCATCCATCCAACTTAGAAACAACATCCCATTTCCGATGCACAGTTGTTTGTAAGGCAAAAACCTTTTGTAAGGCAAAAAGTAGGCACTCAAAATCTTCTTTACATATTTCTTGCTTTTTTTTCTTTTTTTCTTTTTTTGAGGTCTCAGTGAACCACTTATTGGATTGAAATAACAAGAACACTGGCCTTCTCACAGCTCCTGCATGATGAAAATACCGTGAGAAGACCAGCTCTCTTATTATTCCAGCTCAATAAATGGATCCCTAAGGGGAAAAGTAGTAGTGAAATACAAACAGAAATGGTGCGATATCTGAAGAACCGGAATGCGCAGTTTTACTATGTGCTGCCTTTGTTTTCTCTCCACCCTCTGCCTTGTGCAACACCTCACACTCTGTCAAGCTCGGTGCTGCGCTGATCAAGTGTTTTTGCAAAGGAACTGGATCAAGGATGAAATGGTTCTGCCGCGTGTGTCCGTGCAAGCTCACACCTTCTTGGCAGTGTCCTACAGCAGCACTTCAGAGTTTCTCAGGAGGATGCCGGTTCTCAAGATTTGCCAATCAAAAGATTTCCTTTTTCCATTCACAACAGTCCTGTTTTCTTGCGACATGGCTCCTTGCCAGGCAATGTTTCATTAATCTTAGAAAGAGATATCCCAAGGTGCTCTACCTAATACAATACTCATGCATTCGCCATTAGAAGATTTTGTCTCGGTGGCATGCATGTCACCCTGTCTACCCTACCACACTAAGAATTGCTGTTTCAAAACAAAAGAATAAAGGTAAAATTAGACCTTGATTCCCCCTCCCCATAACACCTACAAGTGCAGAAAAGCTGTAAGAAAATCCTGACTCCACACAACAGGACTGGAGGTTTACACTCAGCTCTGGTCTTTCGTTAAAAACAGCTCCATACTTGGGAGTGGACACAACCGGAAATGGGTATAAATCCCACTAACCACTCCACTCCTTGCAGGAAGCACTTATCATCAATATCTGGTGCTCTGGTTTAGCCATTGGGTCCAAACACCACCCAGGGTATTCATGATTGCTTGTCCACCAAGCCACAATATGTTTACAGAGTTAGTTATACAGGGCTATTTAAGGTTTCATAACTATAATTTAATCAAATTATGGGTTAAAAAAAATGTTTGAAGAAAAGTTGAAGAAATGAGTGTCCAGGGACAGGACAGGATAAATAAATTCTTTCAAGAAGCTTGGTCTCCTGACAAACACCCGTTTTAAGTAAAGCGCATAATTCACAGTGACTAATTCACTCCACTTATTTTTGCCTTTTGTGTTTAAAATTTTTGCCCTGGCATCTTGTGGTCTTCTCCACTCTGCCTGTTATCATTCTGTAAATCCTTTCACTAACTGAATTCATTTATTTTGCATCACTACGTGAGCTGATTTGGTCGATTTGACTGGAAACAGAAGGCAAATGGTGCCTGCTGTCTCATGGGTGGAGTGTAACGTGACTTGTGTAATCAAGTGACCACCTGTGCTTATGAATTCAAAGAGCAGATATGTACGCAATATTTACTTTACATGATCCATTCTGGGCCTCATTTTAGCAATGTCATTAAACAGCGATTAAAAACTTTATGAATTTTCCCACTGACTTTCAAGAGTATGGATTGTGCAACTCGTTTGAGAAAGGTCCTTCTCCCAGCAAATTCTGGAACACAAACGAGATGAGAACAAAACCAAACTAAAAAAATGCGCCGAACAAATAAGCACCATGTGCTTTGTGCAGTATTTGCTGAGTTCTACCTACTTTTTGTGAAGCCAGGTACTCCATGCCTCTTGCCAACTGGTATGTGCATGACACTAAGTCCTTGAATGTCATCTGCTCTTCTGGTACCCTGTTAATATCAAACGAATACTCCATCCCTGGGGGGCGGCGTGCTCGCAGGTACTCACGCAGGTTTCCTTTGGAAGCATATTCTACTATCACGTACAATGGACCTTCGGATAAACAGAACCGTGTGACAACTGGAGTCAGGTCAAAGGGGGAAATGTTTCGATGTAAAGAAGCTTTCAGCGTTCTATAATAAATGAACTGAATGAATAAATGTTTAACTGTGAAATCAGCAAGCACAACTTGAAAGAAAAGGAGGTTTGGACCTGGCAAAGTGACCGACCCAAAGCTCCACAGCAGGATAGTGGCAGAGCAACAATTGGTGGCTGAAAGCATCTAAACCCTCACCCAGTGCCTTTTCCTTCCAGACCATGCCATGTACTGAAAAGCAAGCATTTTCCATCAAAAAATGCCGTGAGATCTCAAACAAGGGGAAAGTGCTTCTTAAGATTTTTAATTTCCAGAGTTTTGTGCCATTCTGCATCACTTTACATGACGTAATTAGCTTTTAATAAAAACACTGGTGGTCTTTAGAGAGCAAAAGTGCTCATTTCAATGTCATGGGATACAAGTTCTGCTAAAGCAGGACGGACAATTCAGAACAACAGGCGTGGGTAAAGCCCCTGTAAAATGCCTTTTTCTCCCTACAGCAAGGGATTAGAGAGTTTTCATATGATATAGTACCTTTCTCATATTAAAGCTGCAAGTATAATGAGAGACAGAAGTTAAAGTATTGCTGCTAAGCTAGAGAAATATCTAAAAATCCGATCATGGCATGAACGCTTCCTTAAAAACTCTTGAAAAATTATGATTAATGAGACTTGTGCAGACCTGTTGGAAAGTCCTGGTTTACTTTCTTTTCTCTACTCACCATCCTGGGTACAGGCTCCAAGGAGATTGATGATATTTTTATGCTTCCCAATCATCTTCATCATCTCCATCTCTGACACCAGGTCAGACAGATCTTTTTCTGTAGCATCATCTGTACAAGACACAAGCTCAGTTCACATTTTCTAGCGTGCCAGCCTGAACTTCACTAAGGCTCACCAGTTGTCGTAAAACACCATTGCTTCAAAATGCAGAATATGGGATTTGTTTTCCAGTATACACTGCACATTATACAAAGCCATATGTTATATCCTTAACAAAAAATAGTCTCCAACCTCTGTAGAGTGATCATCTCTTTAGTGTTATATGTTAAGAGGCAACAGAGTAATACAGCACATAAAAATTACGTCTTTAGCTATCAAATCTCCAATAACTATGCCTTTCCTGCAAACCAGCCCTCCAATTAAATTCAAAATAAATAGGCGCCAACCACCTGGGCTGAATGGGCTAGGATCTACACATGGACAGCTTCTGACATGACCTAAACTAAAAGCAGAGAGACCCACACGATGCTAATACATCTCCTGGCTCCTAAATACTCCCTGCTCAAGACAAACAGGCTGTCAAGGGTGCAGATTTACACCCCAAACTGCTGAAGGCTGAGGTCAGCTATGTGCTCTTTGACCCCCACCATGATGACAGAGTTCAGATGCCACAAAAGAACCTTTTCGTGGATGAGAACTGCCATATCACCCGTTCTGATCCCTAATCACCCAATTTTCTTACCTTTCAACATCTTCACTGCCACAGTCACCGCTTCTTTTGGCCTGTCTTTGTCAATCCCCACCGCTTCGGCCATGACGACTTGCCCAAAGCAACCTTCTCCCAGGGGTTTACCCAGCGTCAGCCTGGAGGTGTAAACAGCAGATCAGTGCAGGGTATCTGGTGAAGGGATGCAGCCAGTGAAATTCCAGGGCTAAATATAAAAAGCTTTCAACAACCTGCTGCAGCGCAAAGCATTTATCGCATGGAACTAATGAGACTCCAGGCACGCATCAGTTTTCACACGCGCCGCAGTGTGTTTTCTTAGGGATGGCATAGACGAGCACCACCTCAGACGGGCAGATCTGATGCTAAACCCAGCTTTTAAGCTCCCCCTCTCCTTGTAATAAGAAGCCGTGCTCGACGGCTGCCAGCGAGACACAGCGTGGAGGGGCAGAGCTTTCAGAAAGCATCAGACCACGGCTGAAATTCAGGAGCAGCCAGCAACACGCAAGCTGCTCCTGTCAGCATAACGCGGCCGCTCGTTGTCTTCTTTTTCATGTTGACTGCAAAGGGATGAAAGAAAAGTTTCTTTGTGTGTGCTGCCACGTGGTCGCTTTTAGGCAGCTGATGATTTGTGTGATACAGGGTGGCATTAAGAGCCGGGGGATATTATTAACTCCTGTGATACAATGGCACGGTGCAAACAGAAAGGAAAATCAAATGTGCTCTCAAGCAGCTTAATTTTAGCTCAAAATTCATATTCTTGCTTTCTGTTTGGGGCCACAGGCCAGGAACAATCTCTTGCACTGAAGGGATTAGACAGAACAGAGCCAACGAGTCAGTAGACACCGTGTTTGGGCACAGCTGCGGGTAACTATCGCACCCATTTCTCCGTCGTGTGGCTGATGAGGTGCCCGGACAGCTGCCTTCTGGTGGGGGAGAGGAGAGAGGATGAAGACGAGAGCAGAGGAAGGGAAAAGAGGCCGGTGACAAGCACATGGCAGAGGCTCGGAACGGGCGCCCGCCATGAGAGCCCAGGTGAAGGCACCCGGGACGCTTATGAGCCCAGAATGGCTACCAGGAGCCACCAGGGCCACCAGCCCCGCGGTTCCACTGCCCATCCCAGAGCGGCTCAGCCGAGGTGACCCTCGCCATGCCTGCCCACACGGGCAGCAGCACGAAGGCAGGGCCTCCACGGGACACCGCGCTTGGCAGGCCTCAGCCGTCCCCGCCAGCCGCCTTGTCTTCCCCACGGCCTCCCCTCCTCGCTCGGCTGACATCCCCTGCACGTTCCTCCAGCGCTGTGACCCTTCAAGGGGCAAGTCGGGACATTTTGTTTCCCCCCAGCTGGGTCGAGCGCAAGGGATGTTTCTTGGCTTTGGGGCTCTCTGCTGCCACAAGTGTCATGTATGAGGGTGACAGAAGATGCCTCCCATCTGCAGCACTCGGGCTCTGCTCAGGCAGCGGGAAGTAGAGAACGGGGGAAACTGGAACTCGGTTAAAATCACAGTTTCAACCTAAGAAACCTTTTAAAAAGAGCAGTCATTAGGTGGGCTATGCAAAGTGCATTTTGTGGAGCATATCCCTGGTGGCGAAGCCTGCTCAGCTGCAACAGACAGGCACAGAGATGGCAACCTCAACTTCATGAGGATGAAGAGATGAAATAAAAAAGAAACTTCAAAGCCTTTGGGCAAAATCTTTTTGGTTCCAGCCTCGGTGCGTAAGGGCCATATTTGGGCTCCTCTACTCACAGAGAATATCATCTAATGTCCAGAAGCAGTGCCACGGCAGAAATCCGGGAGGGCGCTCAGTGAGTTTGATGCTGCTAATGTTATGCAGTGTAGGGCCCTGATTTGGATAAGCGTTTTCGTAAGTGAGTTCTTAAAGTCTTGGCTTTCCATGGTCAAAAGCAGGATTCACAGATATTGATCTCATCAATGCTTATCAATATCTAAAGGGCAGGTGTCAAGAAAATGGGGCCAGACACTTTTCAGCGGTGTCCAGTGACAGGACAAGGGGCAACGGGCAAAGACTGTAACAGAGGGAATTCCATCCCAACATGAGGAAAAGCTGACAGAGCACTGGCACAGGCTGCCCAGAGAGGCTGTGGAGTCTCCTTCTCTGGAGATATTCAAAACCCACCTGGACACATTCCTGTCCAACCTGCTTTAGGTGACCCTGCTTTGGCAGAGGGGTTGGATGAGATGATCTCCAGAGGTCCCTTCCAAACCTGACCATTCTGTGATATGATCTACATAGGGACTCGTTTCTTTAAAGCATGGACTTCTGTCTTCCCCCGTGAAATACAGGCAGAGGTTGCCATACCACCAACAGAAGAGTGTTAGTCCAGGGCTAAGTGTTTTGAAAACCCCGCTTATCTGCTCAGGCACAAGACAGAAGCAAGAGGTGGTTCCTCCCGAGGGCAGCCCGCAGACTCCCTGTCAAATGCGGTCTTCGCCTCAGTGAGAATTCCTCAAGCTGTTTTGGATTGGTTTCTAAAGCAAACGCGAGTTTAAAAAGGTGCAAAGACTGAAGGGCAGCGTATGCTATGCTGAGGTCATCCCGCATTTTCTCCAGAACTAAAATTGAATTTAGGATCTTGGCAGAGAACAAACATTTGCATTGGAAAATGGTTAATTTATGTGCTATTGCCCTGCTAGGACTAACGTAACAAGCCCCTCATTGTGTGCCTCCTGCCCCCCAACCTAATAAACTGCCTCTAAATAGCCTCCTTTCATTGCAAATCTGCTCCACCTACATTTGTGCTGAATGCTGGTTTTAAATGTTTAGCGCACTAAAATTTTCCGCATTTAGTGTATCCCCCCAGGGTACGGGCTGACAGAAGTACATATACAGGCCCCCACTGTTGACTAGAATACTGCAGGTGGCAATTACAGCATTTTGCACTAGCTTTCAGCTACATCATTAAAATAATTTCCAGAACAGTTGTCAGAAGGTTCACAATTACAGCTCTTCTATCCAAAAGTTACAACGCTGAACTTTGAAAGAGAACTGTTGATGATAAAAGGTGCTATTTTCACGAAGCCACCTAAAGACTTCTTAAAGTTAGTACTATAATATATAATCATGGTTCTACCTGTGTTAATATTCTCTCCCTTTTATATGTCTTTTTTATATTAAGAAATATGGTTACAGCTTTAATTAGATTATTCAGCAGCTCATTTTGCATGTTAGTCAACAGACTTTGAAGAAAATATTATGTAGCCATATGAATTTGCATATATCAAGATTCAGTATGCTCTGCTTGAAACCTAATACTTTTAAGCCACAGAAGTTGTATATATATGTACACAATATGCAAAATATACCACTAAATCAAAAGCCACGATCTTCATTAATACAGGCTACTACAAAATCAACACAAAATCCTAGCCAGAAGGTCATGAAAGAAAGAAAAGATTGTTTAATACCATATTCTAGACTTTATCGCCTACATGATATTTTATTACCTGTTTTATAAATATTAAACAACTAAGTTTAATATTTCAACTAAGAAACATGGTTTAATGCTCACAGGTATTGCTTGGGGAAATATCAAATGCCATTCAATAATGCTTGCATGTGGGCATCTCTGCCAGTCTAAATCATATATCTTTTTGAAATAACATTCAGATTCACTCCTTTCGTAACAGAGGAGTTAGATTTCAGCAGAGTATCTGAAAACCTACCCAAAATCTGAAAATAAAATCAGTATACAGGCAGAAAAAATTCAGCTTCTATTTAAAAAAAGACTGATTTCAGACAACTGAATTCGATCTTGATCTTCAGAGGAGGTTCAGGTAATTGAGATTTTCTTTTAACTAAAGAAACCCTAGGAGACATTGGGAAAGATATTTCCTCTCATACTGTGTCATGTTTTTCAGATGTGTGTAGGTAGTGTTAAGAGAAACAGGCTACGTACTTATCTCTTGGAAATTCCCATTTTGGGTCTTCTGGCAATTCATACTCCGAGACTCCTGCCAGCATGGGGGCATCAGCAGTAGAGGAGAGGCGAGTAGTTATCCTCACCAGAGGCGTGTTGGAATTCATGGAGGAGCTCGAGTCGGCCGACACCTATGGTTGCAATACAACATGCAAAAAGGAGGAAAAAAAAAAAGGCAGAGATGTAATCTTGACCCAATGCCTGAAAAACACCAGTACCTGATAACCAAGCCAGCTCAGAACAGTGGTATTTTGAAAAAGTGGCTGAATCTACAGTCTTGTTTCTAGTGCACTGTTCTCACACACTTACCCTCCCTTGAAAGCACAATACTGACTAATTGCTGCCAAGGCTGTAAGTTTGTCCCATTGGTCAAAAATCACTTAAGTTTTAAATACCTGCACTCAGAAGATAAATTAAATAAACTTTTGTCTCTTTTTGTTTATCAAATTAATATTTTTTTAATCAACTGAGAGTATTTATATCACCACCCTCAAATACCTCAGTGGGCAGCTTATACTGTGCGCAGAGGTTACCAATAAGCTCTCTTCTTCCACTCACTTCTTGTTGTCTGTGTCACCATTTCTTTTCCCGAATCAGCACACAATTTGCTATTTTTTGGTGTTACTGTTCAATTGAAATTTTCAAATTTTAATTGAAAACCGGTAATTTTGCAAAGGCACATGTACTTTTCATCAGCACCAATGATCAAGATCACATGCGTTTTACTGTGTAGAAAATGCTGGATTCGCTCACATATTTTCTAAGCGTTCAATATTGAAAGCATCAAAAAGCCATCGCAATAATTGGGGGATATTTACGTTTTCCGTTAACTACATTCTTAATTAAAGATTCTGCAGGCAATGTGGAGAAAAGTTCATAACAAGAATTTAACGGGCAGTGCTTTGAAATGTAATGCACTTTGCAGTATGATTTCTCATCAGCCTCAACAACAAAACGTATTCCATCCATGTAAAAAAACTTGTCCTGGTGTGAACGGTCTGTCTTCCACGAGGCTCCTTCCTCAAACCTGCAAGCAGCAGCCTGCTGTCTGCTGACCTCAGAGTTTTAAGGGAATACAAACACAAACCAAAACCGCTTGTATTGCCACTCTGTCTCCTCCTTTAAGTGTGAATCCTCCTTCTCTCTTCAGGCCATGACAGTCTTGGCCAAGCCCAATTCTGGCAGCCAAGGCGGGACGAAGGTTGTTTCACAATGCCATCGCTGGTACCTGTCCTCACAGCAGGCGGCAGGAGGTGCTTCTTGGCCAGCATTGTTGGGACCGTCCCCAAGCTGGAAGCCTAGAGCATCAGAATAACTACCACTCTCGATTTTCATTCTCATCACCTGGAGTCAACTTTGACACCAGGTTTGCTTATGTAAAGTGCCACCAGGCTACAATTTTGTTCCAGAGGTCTCACTAGATAAAAAAAGCAATTATAAGCAAACAGATCCTAATAGCATTAGAGTGCAAATCAGTGACACACAGGGACATGAACACAAAATCCTCTTGTCTCTCTGACACCTGATAAGCGCAACTTAACGCTCCCTTATTTCAAGTCCAATTAACAATTACAGTGTCTCAGCCCACGGAATTACTCGAGCTCCTCAGAATGGGGCTGAAAGGCTTTTGCAACCATGTCACGCTCTTACACAATGTATTTTGACAAGACAAGGCTAAGGTGCTCAAAAGAGTTTCTCATCATGACTCTGACAACCTGTTTTGTTCGAGAGATCTTTTCGCAGGGTGACATGCTCAAACCCATCTCATCAAATGGGGTTGGCTTCTTGACACATTTTTCTATGACCAGAGATTAAGACTGGAAAGAGGTTTCATAAGGAAGAAAGTGTTAAGGACTGCTATCAAAAAATTAACCTTGGTAATCAGTTTTGCAGCTGACTGAGAGACCTTTCTCGATATCAGAAGCTCCAGCTTCTGCATGCGAGATGTGGTATCTGTGGAACAAGAGAGTATAACCGCACAAATAAGGCTACCCATTCAAACAAGTGAGGTGAACTGCTTTCCCCTTAGTCCATCCAACCATCGTTAATGTTAATATTTACTTTCAGCACATGTAAGTACCTGGCACATTCCTCTAGCCTAATAAATACGGTGAACACTTGGGATACAAACAGAAAACTACTATTAAGGCAGACTACATAGCTCTAAATAAATCAGTAAGTGAATACTCAACAGAGGCCTTCAAGAGGGAGGATTGGGGAGGTCCCCATTGACTGGAGGTTAGCAACTGTGATGCCCATCTACAAGAAGGGCCAGAAGGAAGATCTGGGGAGGCTTAGATTGGATATTAGGAAAAATTGCTTTACAGAAAGGGTTATCAAGCATTGGAACAGGCTGCCCAGGGAAGTGGTTGAGTCACCGTCCCTGGAGGGATTTAAAAGACGGGTAGACATGGTGCTGAGGGACATGGTTTACTGGTGGACTTGGCAGTACTAGGTTAACAGTTGGACTCAATGGTCTTAAAGGTCTTTTCCAACCTAAACGATTCTGAGAGAGATGCTGCTATGCCCAGCCTAGAGCAGAACACACCTGCTGGAGCCAAGTTGCTCACTCAGAGCTGCATGGAAGGTCAGCATGAGAACCCGGGCTGGAACTGGACTTCTACTTATTTTTTGTTCATTTTCATTATTTCACTACAGTTTAAAAATGATGCATCATGAAATGAACTAGCTCAGCAAATCTCCATGGACAATGTGGCACCTCCTTTGTCCCCCACAACTTCCCCGAATTTAATTTCTTTCTGGTTTCCATTTTTAAATCTCACTGCAAAACTACTAGGAACTCTCTGTGACCATTTTCCTCATTTTTCAAAAATCCACCCACCAGCCATTCTACCAAGATCTTGATTCAAGTCCTGATTTACTTATCAATTTATTTATTAACATTGCCTTTACTTTCTCAGTTTCCTTTATCATTATAGCCATTGTTTTCATGGGACATCAGGAAGGCATGGAAGTGAAGCTGCAAATTTAGATGATACCCTTTAAGTATCAGAAATAGCCCCAAATGAAAATGTTCTGGTTTTTTGGTGTTTTTTTTTTTCATTAATACAGTATTTGTATTAGATACTGCTCAGATCTCTGCCAGAGTTTCATCTTCTCACCAGCTCTTACACTCACAATTCAGCAGTCTTAGCATGGTTAAAACCTATAAATGTAAACTTGCAATAAACTGAAATACTCTGGTGATGCATTTCAAACACAGAAGTTAAATAGTAATAACGCATAGAAAAAACAGATGAAAGACTCTGCCAATTTCCCTTTTAACACAATTGCACATGTTTACTTCACAGGATAACTGGATGATTGGCCAGAGATGCTGTAGGTGAGCAAAGTGCATTAACGTGGATAGGAATGATGAGAAATCCAGAGGAACTACTCAGTGTCTGGGAGAAGAAAAATGGACTGCGCTCCCAGGGAATATTCTTCTGATTGATTAACTGGAGCAGTGCAAGGAGTTACAGGAGCTCAAGGGCTATAAAAATCTGCTCCAGAAAAGATGAAGCCAACCCAGGCTGGCCTGTGGTTGGAGGAGATTTTCTGTTTCAAAATGGCCTTTCACCTTTTCTGCAATAGTAAAGAATTAACCTTTCAACTCATCCTTTAAGCATCTTGTTTTATTGCCTTAGAGTGCACTATAAAACAATGAGGAAAACCCTACCTACTCCAAGGTCAGTAGACATGGTCAACTTTAATCTACATGTATACATTTAAGTAACAGCATACAGAAAGCCTTTTTCCAGCTTGCTGCTTGCAGTACTGCTCCCTCCAACCCCTTACCACGCCGGTTCAGGAACCAGTGACACTCCTGCCACGAACCCCACCTTTCAGCATGTGGAGTGGCTCTGAAGTGTATGGATGCTCTGTTTGCTTTCAGTTATGCAAAGATTCAAGATACATAGGACACAGGCACAACAGAGGCCGTACTGAGTTTCTGCAGCAAGCTTGTCATTGTACATGGCCAATATACCGACTCCAGGACCACTTTTGGGTCTACCAGGTGCCAAGAAGCAGCAGCTGAACACATAGTCAAAATGCATGAACTTCTTGGGCAATCACCCAGCTCACTAACATGGACTTCTCAAAGATAAAGGAACAAAGCACGGTGAGGGCAGAGAAGGAAGGAAGGGCACCTGATGTAGGTGAATTAGACATCTTCAAGGTCTACTCACTGTGCTGGTGATGCCTGTTTTCAGTGATGACGCTACACTAAGGAGGTATTTTGAGTGTTTAATTAAAATAAGGAAGGCAGAAGTCAGCCTGACTTGAGCAGAACACTTAAAGGACTATTGTGGTACATGTTAACCTCAACAGGAAGGTAGACCTCCACCATAAAATACTCTTTGTGTGCTTCCTTTCTACTTTTAGGAGGCCATAACCAAGAAAAGTACTGGCCTTGGGCAGATCTTTAGCTCCATATCTGCACTTCAGAAGGAGAAAAGCCCACTGTGTCCAAAGCTCATGCACCAATGCATTATTATGTCCCCATTTTAACAAGATATTTTTCCTTTGGCCAACACACTGTATTTAATCAGCTCTCAGATAATGCTTTACAGCATTTCTAAGCAGTGGAGCATTTAAAACAAACAAATCTTTGCTGGAATCTTTAAATGCCATGTGGCAAAATCAGCTGCAGAGCAGTGTGTAATTGTCTGTAATTGATTATGAAGGGTGTTTTCCTCTACTGATGATTTATACCGTATCCCAAAGCCTAGATCTGTCAGTTCTGGCACTCATGCTGTGAGATTTTAGCAGCCATGCAGTGATTTGTCAGTCTTTTTGAAGGCTCTGCTATAAAAGTTAATTTGAAGTCATATGCATATATCTATATAAATATAATTAGTAAGTAATGCTATTAGCTGTTTATAGAAACGGTCCATCTGAGTGTCTGGATCTAGGAAAATATAAGATTAAATGCATGAAACATGATTAAATACATGAAAATGATGTATTCCTAATGCAAGTAGTGGTGTTTAAAACACAGGCACATAAGCACAACCCCTTCAAGAAAAGTGCTCCTTTAGAAACACTTATACAACAAAATAGCACATGAGCCCTACTAGGCAAGTCAACAGTTTCCATATGCAGAAATCCAAGGATAACACAAGAAACTAAAATATATATTAAGGTAAATGCCTTGCAACACATCCTACTGCAAGTTGTGTAATCATCTTTGTATTTCAGAGTTTATTCTTTAAAATGAATGATATTTTTACAGCTCAATACTATGTGAAATACTATGTTACGTCACTTGTTCCAGGTTGCTTTTCTTTTTTTCAGGTTCCAGCTCCCATCATCAGTTTGAATTAGCTATTTTGCTCGGTGAGCTTAAGTCTTACTTTAAACCAATCAGTCTCCGCTCATCACAAATGTCCTCATTATAACTGTATGAAGGATTAGAACCAACAACTGCAGTAGATATAAATTGATGGGAATATATTTGAAATACTAAGCATAAGAAATCATTCCTCCCCTATTTAAGACACATATATACACCCAAGTTGAGGGGGTCCAAATTTGACAGATGAACTGTGACAGCACTAATGAAACGGTCTAGTGATGACAAACCCTTGTACTTGACTTTGACTGGGCAAGGCACAAGAGATGGGACCTTCTACAGCCACTAGCGCAGCACTGTCTTTTTGTCTAATCATAATTTATTTGTTGAAAGACAAACAGAAGTTCTACAAAATAGATGTATAACCTATTGAAGGCTACTCTTTACCTTCTGGTTCAGAGAACCTGTCAAATCATCTTGCAATGTTCAATCCCACAAATACTTCTTCCCCCTCTCTTGCGAGCTGGGACTGCTATGCAGAACATAGCTAATACCAACACAGCACTGCAGCTCTCAGCTTTATATAAAAGAAAAGGAACTGCTTGCTGGATGGATTTCCCTGTGAGCAGTTTCCATTTCCAAAACCCAATACCAGATCCCAGCGAGGCTGAGGATTGTAGGGGGAGGGAACTGATAATTCCTGACTTCATCGTGACCCTTCCTACGAATGTGAAAAGAACCACATTTTGGCAGGAAAAAAATGCCTGCATGTGGGGAATGATAAAATCCTGTAGTAGCTCAGACTAAATAGTGTAGGAGAATCCAGGCCTGCAAACCAAACCATATGTTACTCAGCAAGACTCTTATCCCGCCTAGACAAGATGGCATCACAGTCATGCGAACGCCTCTTCGCGAACCAGGATTATTTTCACATCCAGATCCTTAGGGAGCTTGACCCAGCAGCAAAGGGCTTCGAAAACAGTATCAAGAATTCCCCAATCTATGGCCTCATTTCTCTGGAATTCCACCAAATCCCATCACCCAGCCCCAGATCTCTGCCCAGCTCACACAGACTATACCTGGCCACAAGCATCTCCCCTGCCCGCCCTCACCCATCCTCTCAACAACTCGGCCACTTTCTTTATTCCTCCCCCCCCCCAGCACACAAACAAGAGAGGACTTTCTGTGATCAATAAATAGAGGTTTAGTGACAAAACCCTGCCATGCTTTAAATACAACCCTCTGAAATACAAATAAACTGAAACACAAAAGTAAGCCTGGCGGCAGAACAAAACAAACCAAGTTGAAGAATCCAGAAACACACACTCCCATTAAATAAAACACCTCCTGACTTATTTTTTAATTCTTGATCTGTGACAACGATTCTGAAATCCAAAACCAGCTTTAAAAGATGCAGAAGCTAAACGACTGCTGCAGCTTTAGAAATCAAGGAGACGAAAAATTAAGGAATCTTTACTGTTGATGAGCAAGTCTTCAGGGACTGCTCGTCTCATCCTGCCTTTGCAAGCTACTACAAACAATTAGTGAAATCATCAAAACAGAAATACAGATTTCTTTTAACACTTATAGTAGTTATATTTTCCCTCTGTGAAGACAGGAGAGCAGAGAGCCCTTCAATGAGAACATCCTGTTAATAAAAAAGTACTCGGGAGAATTGAGACTAGTGGAATTTTTGCTTAGGGGTTGAAACAGGATTCGCACTTCAAAACATGTACTGGTTTTCAAAAAATTATTCCCACTTTTAAAAGAAAAATGCTGTTTTTGCTAAGAAAATCTAGAAAACCAAAATAAACCAAAAAAATCCGGTCTGACAAGCATGTTATAAGACAGAGAATTATTTTTCCTCTGCAAAAACAATAGCTTTGGAGAAGGTCCATATTGCATCATTTAATGATAAATAACTAAACTGAGGGCATTGGTTGGCACTGCTGTCACACACAATGAAATAACAGTCTCCCCCTGAGGAGCCATTTCCAACTGACACAACTGAGCTCACACCAAACCCGAGGTATTTTTTATGCCGTCAACTTAGCTCTGAGTCATTATGATGCTTTTATATTCAGGCAGAAATCTAATAAATGTCTTTTATATAAGCAGCTGATATGTATCGCTCTCTGGTTTAGTACATAACATTTGAAAAGCCTTTTCTTTGTCCAGAAAGCTACACCAAATTTTAGCCATAGAGATGTGTAAATTGAGCCAAGGGCTTCTCATCAGTCTTTCTCATATACTCAGAAGCAAAAGTCCCTCTCTTTCTCTGTGATCCTCAAGCAAATGAACAAAATCATAACATTACAACAAAAAAAAAACCCAAAATAGCCAAGTCAATAAGAATTAACATTTTTGCTCATAAAACAAACCGAGTATTTTTCATATCAGACAAAGTTCACATCCCCCACCTCAGCTTTTGTAAAATACTGCACTTTAGAGGAAGATGGCTAAAGCATTACTAGAGGGATTTCTCTCTTGTATTTCTAACCATGGAGATTCAGAAACCCTGAAAAAGGGTTCAGAAAAAAGTAATAACGCCCGAAATCCCAAGACCAAGTTCTACTCTAACTTTGCTCGATTGTGCATATATTTCACTTACTTACACTGAAGAACTATTTTTAAGGTACATGTATTACTGGTAGTTATAATATTCTGGACAGGGTATACAAACAATCTGCAGAAATTCTGCGCAACCTATTCGTGGTGCAGATGGACCGAACTAAACCCTCAGATCCAAACCCCCTGACCACAGCCTGGGTCCAACGCCCTGCAGATGGTCCCAATTTTGAATAAGAGGGTGACCCAAAGCCTCAGATGCCAACACCCCTCCACCTCACAAGGGCTGAACCTGGGGGGTGGATCTGGTGGGTTTAGAGGTCTATCCTGAAGACCTACTGCAAGAAGAAAAAAAAAAAAAATCACAACATATTAAACTCCAGCTTCAAAAGAAACAAGTCTTTCGGGAGAGGATAGTATGTGGGAATGGAGGCTGTTTTGGCAAGGGGTGGCCTCTGACAAAGCCAAAGGCCTATTACTCGTTCAGCTGGTTTGTTGCTCGTGGTACTGCCCTCCCCAGAAACACTCACTGCCAGCCATGAGCAATTGAAAAATGTATTTTATGTGACACTGTTGTGTGCATTTCAAATCTGACATTTGCTTTTGTTCCTCACTCAAAAGCATCAGCATCTTAATCAAACTGTCCGAGATCTGATATAGTATCTCCCCTATTTTTACTTTATTAGTCTTTTTTCTATTTTGGGGTGGTTTCTGGACGCTCGGCTATGAAATGCCCTCCCCTCAGTCTTCAAAATTCTTCCTGAAAAATACCTCTCTGTATCTGGTACCTAGTTACCACAATAATAGTCACCTTAGAAACATTATAAACACACAATTAAATAGAATTCTGTTCCAAAGTTCATTAAGTCGGTAAAAATTTTTCCATTGACCTCAATGAGCTGTGGGATCGAGCCCCAAAATACTTTAAATACATTTTTTTCCATCTATAGACTGCTAATACAGCCCATATTCCATTTTTCCCATTTCTCCTCTAACACCCCTGCCCTGATTTCCTCGCCTTGAGACACACATTGCCATGTCAAGATGGACTTTCTCCCCACACCAGTCCCCTAGGTGCCAGATTAAATCCCACCCCGACTGCAATTTGGTTTAATGCTTATTTATTCCCCTTTCCAAAGCATTCACGGGAAGGACGTGCTGGCTTAGTTGGTTGGTAAAAAGTTTCTTTAAACTCTTTATCTACTTTCTGTTACCTGTCTGCGCAGAGGGATTCGCTTTGTCAGCTTATGGACAGCGGGCTGGCTGCTGAAGTCGGGCTTCTTGGTGGTGTTCTTCATGCGACACAGGATGACTGTCAGCACCATGCAGACAATTAAGAAGACCCCTATGCAGTAAATTGCTATTTCCAGGTAGTCTGGAGACGTCGGGTATTCTTTTTCTTTTTCAGGAGCTGGATTGGAAGTTTTTAGGAGGGAACAATCATGCCACAGAGTTAGCACACGGTACAAGCATAGTTCAGTACAGTGCTTGGAACAACATGAAATGGTAAAATATCAGCGATTCTCGCAGTGACTGCGTGGCATACAGAATACTGTGGATGTTTAGGCCATCTTGCAATCTGAGAGTAATTCCTCTTTCTAGATTACTGCTTTGACTTCTCAGTTTGCCACTGAGTGTGAGCTTGTGCGTGAGTGTACACATACATAGACACATACATGTGTCTGCCTAGATAGGTAGATACACACACCTTGAAATACTGGATGATCAAGCATAATTTTAGAGGAAAATAAAAAATTGAAGTGGTCAAACTAGGCTCGCGTTCATTTTGTTGCTCAAGTCAAGCTTCAAAAGCACTGTAATTCTTTTTAACCACATAAAGACACATTGAAAGTATTGAATTAGCTAGCCTAGAAGTGTTTAAATTAGCAAATAGACATTGGCGCTTGAGTCTGCATTGCCTGTTTATCCAAAATTGTCACTGGGATCTCCAAATACAGAGGGAAGGTAGGATGAATCGGTCCCTCGTCACGTTTCTAAATTCAGGTTAGGGATTGCAAGTGTTTCGAGGACCCGGTGGCCCAGCTGCTTAACTCGCTGTGGTTCAAGGCGGGTGCCCTAACTCCCCACAGGTCCTTTGAAGAGCCCAGTGTCGGGTTAAAAAGCATAACGCAAGCATAACTAGCATTACATTAATTAATGAGTCCTCTTTTGTGAGGACTGCATATTTCAAGTAACCTCATCAGTGGTTACCAGTCTATGAGATTAGATTTTAGTGGGAGCGGCTCTACATAGCTGTTGGTCTGATTGAAACCATTCTGAAATTATCTTCAAGACAGTTATATGTGCAAACACTGTCCCTAATCCCTTATCTGGGATTCAACCTCCAGGATAAACAGCATTCCACAGCAATCAGCGGTCACTCCGCAAGCGATGCATGTTCAAGCTGAAATTTTCTTGTGCCTCATTCCAGGCTTATAAAAAGATTTCATTCAAGAAAATAGCTTTTTTTAAAAAAAAAAAAAAATGCTGTTCAAGCACTTGCCAAACGCAAATGCCGCTAGCAGAAGCAAGCTCTACACAAGTGCCGCTTTGCCTGCTCGGTGACAGACCACGCGGGCTCAGTGGTCATGTAAGAGTGAGAGGTAATAAAGTTGCTTTGTTTAATATATTTTAATAAAGGGTTAAGAAATTATCTGCAGAAAGTGGGAACGTTTCACTCCTGTAATATGAACCTCAGCAATAGGCACATGCGGGTTTTGTACCTTTTACTTAGGATTAACACTGAATAAATGGTAAGCACAAGATGACCCAGCAAACCTCAGGTGGTTCATGTTTTTTCAAAGGAACTCCTAAGGCAGCTGCCAACAGTTATAAATGAGAAAATTTGACTAGTGTCAAAACCAACTACGGTTACATCTTCTAACAGCTGATAACAATTTTCAGGCAATAAAGCACATTGATGTTTGTTTCTTTTAAGGAGAGAAACATCATCAACCCCAGAACAGCAAGACATGCTTTGCAGTAAAAGCAATCGACTACTTGTTTTCTTAGAGCATGCAATGTTTAAAGATGCACGGAGCCGATTCCCAAGATATGGAAGGCACTGCTTCTGTACACGATCCATTGGCATTACAATTTGAATTCCCACAAGAGATTTGGATGATAAGTAAAAGTGAATTTATTCACACTAAACAGCTCAGGTGTTTTGATGAACCAGTACATGACCGTGGCCAAATTATTCCCAAAGCTTCATAAGAAACTTTGAATTTCCTCCGCTTGAAAAAGTTTACAATGATTTTTGTGCTGATTTTCTGTTTTGTCACTGAAGTGCTAAGGAAATGCAGCTCCTTACCATTTCTGATGAACGTTTAACAGATGCAAAAATATTTCAATTGAGTGCAATACACATTCCCCCCGTCTTTTTTTGTTGTTAGATTTTGGGAATTGCAAGTATGTTTCAAGACAATTCATTGGCTTGGGACTACCGTGTTTAAAACAAAAATCATTGTAAAATTCCTTTTCTGAGACAGAAGCCGTGCTAATTCTGCAGCAACCAACAAGGGGGAAAAAAAAAAGAGGAAAAACCACAGAAAAGAGAGCAGTGTATACCTGGCAGAACTGTCAACCATGCAGTGTGAAAGGATATCCCAATAGAATTACCCGCCAAGCATGTATACTCCCCAGCATCCTCAAAAGTTACATTCCGTATATAGAGAACCTCAATTTCTTTGTCCGTGGTGTTAACACCGGCAGCCTAGAAAAAAACAAAAGAGGGAAGCAAGAGAAAAAGCTAGACATCGAGAGAATTCTTGTGGATAGGGAGATGGAGCCACCGGGCTTTGCACTTTGTAAAGGCAGAGGCGGAGAGATGCAAAGCTCCTTCCCCATCCACAATCCCTCACCTAAAAGGCATTTACCAACAGGTCCCAGCTCACCTCAGAAAGTAATCGACACCCTTCACCAGACCTAAACTCACCACCTAAACATGCATGCAATCAAATGACATGGAAAAATTAACCCACAAGGCTTTTTTTTTTGTTTTGTTTTGTTTCTTCTTCTTCTTTTTTAATAAAAGGAAGTTGAAAGAAAAACAAAGAGAAAACAAAAGTAGGACAGAACGCAGGCTCCTTCACATGTAGTTACCTGTCTCAGAGGAAAGAATTTGCTATAAAAATACACTCTGAAAGTATAAAAAAAGGGGGGGGTGGGGAATTCTGCTCCAAAAGACACAACTTAGTAGCTGTCTTAAGCAGCGTATGATCCTTGCATCACCCACTGCACTACAGTTAAATGTTGGACATTGTGTAGTGTTGCCAAACCTCAGTTTAATCTGAAGTCTGGTAATGTTTGGTGGCTTGCTTAGAAGCACAGTGGGGAGAAGCAGGAAGGTAGCTCAGGTCTTGTTCAAAAAAGATCAGCCGTGGCTCTCAGATGTGGAGAAAAACTGGACCCTGAAGGTTAAAAAAACAGGAGATGGAAATAAAATATATTTTTCTAAATCTGAGAGAGTTTTAAAAAAATAATAATCTGGAAGGATTTTTCTAGTCTCCTTCCAGACCTAAATCTGGGGCTTGACAAGTCATCATGCACCAAACCAATCAGTGCATCGGTGATTATCTAAACTTGTACAAATAGAGTAAATCTTAGCCCTGGAACTTTCCAGCTGTCCCAAGACGGGCGCAGCAGGACACCAGTGTCAAGATCTCTATGATGGAGATTTAGAGAAATCACTGCTGCTTTTTGTCTCTGTTCCATTCAAAAAATGTTACTTTGAAGTACATGATGAGGGAATAAATACATTTTTACTAGACCCTTTTAAAGTAAATGTAGTTGTGAGTTGTAGTGGCATTGTTGCCAGTCTTTATTGGTATTGATGGGTTATGACCCAGTTAATAACGGGTGAATAACAACTGGAAAACTCTCCCAGCACTGCACAGTCGCAGGTGACGTGGGAAGTTGTAAGTGACTAAACTGACCTGACTTATGCTTCAGTGGGTATTTATGTGAACATTTAATATATACACACACACATATGCATATATATAAACATACACTAATTAGGTCATAGTTACATTATTTAACGAGTACTCTATAAGTGAACTGCAAAGTATGCAGAATGAACAACGGAACTAGACATAAACACACAGACACAAAGACACCAAACACAAGAGAGAAAAAAGATCAGTGTCAGAAACCAGTGCTTATGGTACACATGGAATATTGTGGGAATTTTTCCATGGCTGCTGGTGTAATACCAGTTGCATCACCGAAGGAAGATTACACATATACCACAAGGCCAAAGAGTTATCCTACAAGCTGCCTGCAGTCTCCCAAAGCACCACTTTTTCCAGCTTCTACATCCAGCTTGCTTTAAAAAACGTTGTTACCTTGTATACTCGGCAGAACAGAGAGCCAGGCAGACTGGTTGGCCTCCCCTATATAATTGGAGACCTTACAAATATATTCTCCAGCGTCCGCCTCTGTCACATTGTACAGTGTCAGCACTTCAGCATTGGAACTATTTATCCCCGAATGCTAGAATAGACCAATAACACAGGAGAACAATGTCACTGCTGCCCAAAACGGACACCAATCTGTCTACGGTCCCACCACCAACATGACATAAGAATACACCTTCCGCTTCATACAGGTATCAGCATCAAAACCATTGCGGGTTTGGGGTTGGTTTGGGTTTTTTGTTGGCTTTTTTAAATCTGAAACATCAGACGAGGAGTTAGAAAACAGCGGCATCGGGGGAAAAAATAAGCACCTGGGCTGGTACACCGGCTGTGTGGAACACGGTGGTATGGAGCTGGCTGTCCCGCCTGCCAACACAGTGGGGTATGGCAATGACACCCCGCTCGGAAAACTTTGGAGTTTCCTCAGTCAGGCTTGCTCAAAACGCCTGCCAGCAGGAAGGACACCACCGATACGCCGCCACGTGCCCATGAGAAACGGACACCTCTGCAGGCTCAGCATCCGGCAAACCCAACCCTGCCAACACGCTTTCAGCAGCAGGTGCCACATCACTTTGAAATAAAGAGGTTGAAGAAATGTGAGAGAAATGGAGTAGATTCTCCCCCGGGGATGTTTTGGACACGGTCTACCAAAACGTAAATGTCAATGACGTACTATAAGAGGGTTTTCATTTTTTTCTGAATAAGTCACGCCTGAAACATTCAGAGATAAAGGACTTTCACGGAAGTGAAAAAAGAGCAAAAGTGTCTACACAATTAGCATTTAGACTACCAAATGTTTATCTAACTCATTATTTCATTTGTAACATAAACACTTCCATTCTCAAAAGAAGTTCAGATCTCAAAATTCTTGGATTGACATCAAATAAATTCAACGCTTTAAAGAAGTCATCACCATCGCCGGCGTCTGTAAAGCCTCACCTTTAAAACCTGGAGATACGGCAGTCCATCTGGTCCGTATTTACTGCCATTCTTCTCTACGTGTTTTATCCACTGAATATGAGGCTGAGCATCGCTGTAGACTTTGCAGACAAACTCAACGTCACCTCCAACGACTGCAGAGGCGTTTGCTGGGAGGCCAGCTTGGAGGATGGGTCTGTGCGGGGATCGCTCTGATCGGGTGGGGAGGGGGAGCGAGAAGGAGAGAAAAAGAGAGAGAGGGGGAGAGAGAGAGAGAGAGAAATAAAGATGCATAAATAAGCAGAGCTGCCAAGAAAACTGTAAGTGAACTCGAGCCAAAAAGCCCTGTAAGCCTGTTGGCTGACTCCTCCGAAATAACACTGCAGCCAAAACGTATAACAAAAACTACAGTTCAAAGGAGATGACTTGAGCACTACACTTGTAATATTAAGAATAGCTATTTGGGGGGAGGGGAGAAACCCTGCTTAAAAACTTTAAGCATTTTTCATAGTTCAACTCAGTAAGAATTAAGTAAAATATACCCTTTTTTTTTTTGAGCTATTGTAATAACTACGTCTGAGTTTTGAAACATTCTGATTGGACTAAACCTCCACAAGTGACGAAGAAAGATTATGGATTAATTTTTAAAAATGATTAACATATTAAAATAAACCAAAAGGACTTCTTCAAAACTAGCAGTGGAAACCTCAGCACTGATATCCCTCATGCAGGATGCACACGCCAGACAGCTGGACTTCCCAAAACACTCTGACCAGTGATACCACCACAGCTGCTCTCTGCTTTACCCAGACACAGCAGCAGAAACACCAGTTCTTTCTAATTCTGAGCAGGACACAGGGAAATACAGAGTTCTCTGGGGAAAACGCAGTGTATTTAATGAGAACCAATGGACTTGCTTAAGTGTTTACCCAATGTTCTTGGTCAAACTTACATCACTGAAAATACCAAGCGTGCCCTGCGCCATCTGGGTACCTGGGGAGCCACCGCCGCCAGCGCTGCCAGCCCAGTTTCGTGGATGCGATATGCAGAGCCTTTGGGCAGAGCATCAATGGGGACCTCCGCTGTGCCAGCAGGCCACCTTCCCACCGCCCTCACTACGCCTCATCTAAAAGCTGCTGTCATCTCCTGGGTGGTGGGCAGGGCACAAGCCAGCTTCCCAACCTCCCAGGCCACCAACAGCCCTTCTTTTGGCTGGAAAAGGCGAGCGGGCAAAGCATACAAAGTTTTCATTCCAACACGGCATAGGAGAAAGTCCTCAAAATGCCAAGCCTGGTGACCAAATGGCTTTATTATCCAGCGAGCGGGGTGGACAACAGCACCCTCCCCAGAAAACCTCCATCGAGCTGCAGTTTCGCCAGCCTAGTTGGGAGCTCACCACCTCCTGCGTGCCAATTTAACTCCGCCCGTTTCTTTTTATAAGAATGCAAAGTTAATACTGACCTACACATACTTTCAACACATGAATTAGAAGCCCATTGCCCATCCCCAGCCCGAGCTGTCCCTTCTCTCCCCCGCTCCAGGAATTCTTTTGAAGACAAATCAAAAAACAGCGGACCTAAATATTTATTTTTAGAGGCTGTACACTGTAAAAGCTTTGACGTTACAAGCCAAATCAACTGAATTTCAAATCAAGCGTTCCTTCTTAAACATACTGGTTTCCAATAAATTGTTTCACAAGCAAACATTGCGAGTGTAATAGCAAATAATGATGCCCATGGAACAATGGGATCTTTTATACAGTCCAATATATTTGGCATGCAGCAAACATCTACTGGGAATTTATTCACTGAGGCTACGCTGGCAGCACACTACAAAGCAGCAGTCTTATTTTACTTGTGGCAAAAGTGCATTTGTGTTGCAGTTACTAAATTATTCCACGGCTATGTGTGTCATTTTCAAAGATCTAGGAACAGTTTAATATTTTTTAATTTGTAAATTACAGTAGAACATATAAATTACTATTTTACAGTTCTGGAGAGAACTTTTAGTTTCTCACCTTATACTAAATAAGCTCTAATTCCATCTCCCTCGCTCCTTCATTTGGGTACAAAAACAGCAAGCAAAAATCTCTCTTTAATAGAAACCTTACACCATCTTCCAAAACTTATTACAGCTGCCTTCAGTATAAAATGAAACCTTAGAGAATGTTATTTAAAATGGTTTTTAGAAGTCAGTAGGCCTCATGTTTCATTTCTCCACATCAGGGTTTGATTTCCTTTGTGACCTTATTCTCTGCCCTTAAACAAACCAGAGAACGAGGCCTGAAACATCTTGGAAAAGTTCCTACTATGCCAGCATCAACACACAAAACGTGTTTAGTTTCTCCCGATAGCCATCAACGATTTAATCTTTTATTGATGACTGTCAAACGTTTCCTCTACCAAAAAAGAGGAGGCAAAGCAAAGAAGTAAAAGAAAAGTTGTTATTACATTCTTGGTCCCAAATTCTTTTAAAAAATAAATAAATAAAGTGCACACATATGTATAGGTGTATATGTATAGCCATTTGTGAAATTTCTTTTCTAAAGGTAAATGTGTTAAAAACAAAGTCTAGTTGCCCTCCAACATACAGAGCAATGATTAGTTTTTCGTCAACTCCCCCACTTCAGCAGAAGGGAGTATTCCCATGCCCACGCAGGCAAACAGCACAGAAGAATGTAACCATCATGAGGCAAATTCAGCGGGGTTTCCTGACATCATGAGGCAAATTCAGCGGGGTTTCCTGACATCATGAGGCAAATTCAGCGGGGTTTCCTGACAATCCCAGAGTCCAAGGACCACAAGAAATACATTCATATTGGGGGAAATAACTAAATATGGAGAAACTTCCACTAACTACAAGTGACCAAGTATAATCCTGTACGGTATCATTTCATGGAAACAGTCATTCTAGGGTGTTAACCTGTCTTTCCTATTTCTCTGCAAACCACACACACCTAAGGAAGGACTCTGCTTAAGCATAGGTACTGTCAAAACCCTATTCATAAATCTCACATCACTATTTAGCATTTAAAATACAAGCCGTACATTTGTAAGCAGGTATCATCACTCAAACAACTGGCTACACTAATATCAGATGGAAACGGCGCATTCTTTTTTACTAAAGCTTGGCAAAGGAGTCAAAGTTGCCTTTAAAAAAAAAAATCTTAAAGGCTGGTGAAACTAATTTTATCACAAGCCTTACACAACCTAATAATTATAATCAGCATCATCGCTAAAATGTAGTGACCATATGCATCTCTAGTCATTTAACTCAAACAATATTTTAATACAAAACAAGTTGGCAACCAATCTCACAGCTCTGTAGCCCCACTGATTTCCCCTTGCTCATTAAAATTGAATCAAATCAGAACCTCAAAAAATAAATCTTCACTATTTGACCACTGAAATTCTAGTGTTTCACTGCTAACACGTTTCAAAAACAAGTCAACAGCATGCTATAACACAGAAAATCACCCCATAGATTAGCTGTCTTCAAGCATACCAAACAAACACTGCATCATAAGGACCATAAAAAGTAGTAGATACTAATTTTATTACCATAAATATTAGTTACTTACTGAACTACATAGAGATCTACAAGGTTTTTCATAGATATGCCTGGCTTCATTTAACAGACTTTCCTGGATCAACTGCAATGTAATAGATGCTTAAAAGCTAACGTAATGGATGTTTAAAAATTATTTTAATTGAAAAATATTTTCTGTGTATTGATCTGAAAGTAATTGAGCCAAACTGATAATTATGGATACGTCCCCACCTGTCATAATTCATTTTTATTCCAGTTCTTCCCAAAGTCTAACTTTACAACACTTTTTAAAGAGAAAGCATGTTTAACGATGGAGCCCACCTTAACGGACCGACAGCAGCTTGCCTTCTCCAACTTGCAGTTTAGATACAAACCCAACATCATCCCCATTTGAGGAGTCAATTATCTACAAAAGGCAGAGCAAAAATGATTGCTCACGTGAGGACTATCACATTCAGGGCTCCAAGCATCTCAACTTTACACCACCATAAAAGTGCCCGGGGCTTGAGCAATTCTGCTTTCTTATCTATAGACAAACAGACTCGCTATCTGAAGATGACTGACAAAGAGACCTGTCCAATGGCTTAGAAGAAACTCTCATTTAGCCTGTTAATGTTAAAACCTCAGAATACCTTCTTCCAAGACAGAAAACTGCAAAGAATCCAGGAAAGCTGGAAAATTCCAAGTTTCTGAAAAACTGGCGCAATGGAAGGAGCTGCCCTTGAAGCTCCATTCCAGCAGGACACCTGGAGATGGGAGGGAGCCCATCCTGCCACAGATGACGGAGGAAGAGGTGACTGGAAGAACTATCCTGGAAATGACTACTGGACCCTGCACACTTCACAAGGAGTCCTGAGAATTGGCTCTTTAGAAGTTTAAGTCCCTGGACAGGTGATTTCTAAAAACAGGCCTCACCCCTCTCCCATCCTTGGCTTTATCTCCTCCAAGATTTTTTGCTGAGCAGCTGCAGCCAACACAAAGGGAAATCAGAGAGGAGAGAGACAGGAAAGTCGTGATGCCAACACACGAGGTGAAGATGCGGAGAGGGACCAAAAAACCAAGTTTCACAGCCAACAGAACCCAGGAGATGTGATCCCACCACTCGGGTCCTAGTGCGGGAGGGTGCAGGGATGGAAAAACTGCGGGAAGAGGGGCTGCTCTCCGAGCGTGCCGGCGGAGGGAAGATGTAGGGCAGGATTTGCTGCTGCCAGAGGCCAAAGTAGAGCGTATTGTGATAGAAAGAGTGCTCTGCCACTACTGGAGAGCATTGGCAGGTGGAGTGCCTTGGCAGGGAGAGGAGACAATAACCCCGGAAGGGGCGAGCTCGGGGGCCCATCCGAGGCCAAGTCTCCTTAGCAACCTGGCTGTGCCACGGGCCGAGAAGAGGTCTGGGAATTGTCTACCCGAGCCTCCTTGTCACCCTAGCACAGACAGTTCAGGACCTTTCATGGGAGCTAAAAGCCAGAACCAAAGCCCATTGAAGTCAGGGGGAAAACTCACATGGAATTCAATGGGTTTTGGACAAGGCATTTGATTCATTTGGAAAAAAAACAAAAAAATGAAAACTACTCTTATTTTCTCCTCTTGAATGTGCTTGTTTCCTCTCCTTGCAAATGTGTGATTCAAGTGCAGCCTAGGAAAAATAAAAGCTGAATAGCAAATG